GTTTCAACCTCTGTACATGTGAAGGAACTGTCAGAGAACTGTCAGAAATAGCGGAGCTCTCTGCAGGGACACTTTTGCCGGCTGATCGGGAAAAATCTGATTCGCGCACCCGAAGTATGCAAATATTCGGATTCGACGCGAATCAAATTTTTCCTGAAATTCGAAACGAATTCCACTTCGCCTGGTTCGATTCGCTCATCTCTAATAATAATAATAATTTAAGTGATACTATTTTAACAGAAAATGAGATGAAAGTAGTCAATTTGGGTTTAAAATATGTACCAAGGGCTAATATTAATACATTTGATACATTTATGGATGTGCTGAAATTTGTGAGGAAATTAAATATAAAGACATTTTTTGAGACAAACAAGGGTCAGTAAATAATGAGAAAACACAAAATGTGAGTCATTTTTAGTAATTTAAAGAATTCTTCTGAATTCAATCCAAAAAACAAAAGGCAATGAATTTCTTGAAGTATTCAAACATATGGTTGAAGATGACATTAAAAAGATTCAATTTATAAATAAAAAGAGTAATATCGCTGAAGATATTGAGATGGGTATAAAAGAACTTGAAAAAAAGAAAAATGTGGTCATTAGAGCTCAGATAAGGGGGGCAGTATAGTGATATTAAATAAAATTGAATATGAAAATGAGATGGAGAGATTATTGAACATTAAGGATACTTATCTTATACTGAATAAAAATCCTACTAAGTTGTTAAAAAATCAATTAAAAAAGATTATTAAAAAGGGTACTGATCTAGGAATTTTGAACAAAAAAGAATCAAGATATTTATTATTAAAAACCCTAGAATTCCCACGATTTACTATCTGCCTAAATTACATAAAAATAGAACTAAACCACCAGGTAAGCCTATCGTAAGTGGCATTAACTTGATATTTGCGAGAACTGGTGAGTATGTTGACCACTTTTTGCAAGAAATTGTACTTAATAATTAATCTTTTTTAAAAGACAGTGGAGATTTGATTAAACATCTGAAACGTTTGAGGAATGAAGATGACTTCTTGTTGGTAACAATAGATGTGGAGTCATTGTATACTAGTATTGATCAGAATGATGGGATTGAGGCAGTATACTGGGCATTGAAAATTCACAGACTATTTATCATCAAATATTGGAATTTGCAATGAAGAATAATTTCTTCTGGCATAATAAAACGTTCTTTAAACAGTGTAAGGGAGTGGCTATGGGAGCCAAATATGCCCTAAGCGTTGTTAGTATAGTAATGACCAAATGGGAGGAAGAATTTATCTATAATAAGTGACCATAGATGGTATTATATATATAAACGATACATTGATGATATAATAATATAGAAAGGCACTAAAGAAGAACTAAATCTCTTTTCAGATTCTATGAATACTAATAAATATGGTTTAAAATTCACCATGACAAGTAATTTTGATCAACTAGATTTTTTGGATCTGTCCTTATTCAAATGAGGAGGTCAAATTTATGCTAAAACATACTTTAAGGAAGTGGACAGAAATAGTTATATACCAGTATCTAGTTGTCATCATCCAAGGTGGCTAGGAGTCAATTTACTTGTATTAAAAGAAACTGTAATTTAGATACTGATTTCCTGTCACAAACCGATTTGTTGATAGAAAGATTTATAGAGAAAGGATATGATGAAACCTTTTTAAATAAGAGAAAGAGATGTTGTAAAATCTAAGAAATAGAGATGCTTTTTTAGAAAGGAAGAAAGGTGAGAGTAAGAATCTAAGAGTTGGGTTTATTACGGATTTCAATGCTCAGTATAAAGATATAGAAAAAATTATCAAGAAACATTGGCCTATACTAATGAGGGATAAAGTGTTGAGGAATATTATTCCAAGTAAACCAAGCTCTATATATACAAAAAATAAATCTTTAAGAACAAGAATCATGCATAACATTATCGATCCACTTAAACTCATGAGCTTGTTTCCTGGTTTGGAGGGATTCCATTATTGTAACAAATGTAAAGCGTGTAAAAACACCTCTAAAAAGATAAATAGGGTAAGAAAAAATTTTAAGTCTTCTTCAACCAATCGAGAATATAAAATTAAATCATTAATATCTTGTGAATCCACACATGTGGTGTATATGCTGGAATGTCCTTGTCATTTACAGTATGTTGGAAGGACAGTTAGAACTTTTAAAAACAGAATTGGAGATCATATAAATAACATTAAGAAAGGATTTGATAAACACAGTGTATCTAAAAATTTTAAACTGTATCATGATTGTAATCCTGAATTGCTGACCTTTTGGGGTATTGATAAAATTTCCAACATTGGAGAGGAATTGATATGTTAAAAAGAGTTTCTAAAAAGGAAACTTTTTGGATATACAACCTAGATACCCTTAGACCACAAGGGTTAAACATTGATATTGATCTCAATTGTTTCCTCACAGATTTCTAGATGTTATGCTTTTTGGATTGTTAGCCTATGTGTTGGGTTAGAGTATTTTATTAATACATTGGCCCTTTAAAAGATTGATAATACTAAAGTATATGATACACTCCTTTGTTTATAGGAGTGGTTAATATTTAAATTTTTACTAGCTTTTATGAATGCGTAAGCTAGAATTTTTCTTTAAAGTTGTTGGCCCCTTTAAAAAGAACATAATAGTGTATGGTACATTTTTTGAGGGAGGTACTATGATTCCCAAATACGAGGATACTTTCGAATCTTTTGATATTATTGTTCGTTTTATGAAATTATGTTTTTATGTTTTTGTATTAATAATTTTTAAAGTATTGATTCGATAATTCGTTCCCGCGCTGGTAAGCGAGTATAAATTGCTGTGTTGTGGATGTAGTGACGTTCATCTTTCCGCTCCGTGAAGACGTCAGATGACGAAACGAGTAGGGTGAAGCTTCGGACTAACGTCACTACGTTCTGTGTGAGGCTGGTGTCTCAGCTTTCTGTGATTTTAAACTTAATGGGTTTGTTGCTAGTGTCTGCTATGACACTGTTCCATGTGAGTGGATTATGATGCGTTTTTATGAATAAACGTGTCGTATGGTATCACACGATCGTTTGTTTTGTTTTTTCTTTTCTGAGCCTGTGTACGAAGTTCTTGGAATTCGGTCTGGAAGTTTTCACTGCTGAGTTTATAGATCTGCAGAGTATTGCTCCCAGAGAGGATAAATAAGTGTCTGGATATCTGAGTCTCTCTTACTTGTAATAAACTACATCAACAAGCTGAAAGAGGAATAATTTGAAAAGCTGGTCACCGCTGAGTCTGCCTGCAGAGTATTGCTCCCAGAGCAAACAAGTGTGATTGCTGGTTTATAATTTAACTGGCATTTTGCTCTAGTGAGTTTATTCATTTCTGTTGGTGGTGGATTTGCACAAAATTGTTCTTATGGTGATGGACATTTTTCACTGCTGATGAAAAAGAAAAATTCTTAAAGACATTTTTTTGGTCATACATTTTTTCACTGTTTTATTTATCACTGTTTGATTTGAATATTTAATTTTGATAGCGCTACCTTTTTTTGTTTTATGATTGCAACCTTTATTTAGGGGTAAGGTTTAGCTGCTTGTGTTAATGGATTACATGTGAACACCTTTGGAGCTATTTTCATTTATATTTTTTTCTAGTTTCATGACAACCTATCACATTTGTGAAGACCCTGGAGCAACAGGAAAGTAGAAACACCCACAGAATTACCCCAGTTTGGAAAGCAAACACCAAGGCATAATGAGTCTTTTGAACATTTAATTTTTTTCCACAAATTTTCTGAAAATGTGGAAAGAAAATGAAAATGTAATTTTTTTTAACACCAAGTTGTCAACCTACAAGATATTTCTAACAAACAGCATGGGCATACCAAGAATTACACCCCAAAATACATTCTGCTACTCCTCCTGATTATGGGGATGCCACATGTGTAAGACCTTTTCAATGTCTGAACAGATTAGGTGCCCAACATTGCAACAAGCTTCAAAAGATTCACAAAAATCAACAAACACTGTATAGAAAACAATGCATACAAAAAATGACCTGTGGTTTGAGGAGAGCATTGGTCTAGGTCAGTATAGTTGATAAACAGGCCAAGGCAGTTAAGGTAGAAGGCAGTGGCATGGTTGGTTGAGGCAGCAGGATCAGCAGAGAGATTGAAAACGGGAAATGGCAGGCTAATGTTTTAATGACGTGTGAAAACATCGGAAGCAGTCTCTGATGCACAGGCCTGGTTGGGAGGAACACTAGGGACAATGAGAACTTGTGCCTCTTCTAACTCCTCCTCTGCTGCATACCCAACATCTTTTTTGGCATCTTTGACCTGCTTCTATTGGTGGCATGCTCTCAGGGAAGCGGCACTCATGAAGTCTGCTCACAGAATCGGAATTAATGCTTTCTGGGGGGGGATCCTAGCTGGTAGATAAGGGATGTGATGATTTCTTCTACAAATTTGAGGAAGGCGGTGGGTTTTTCTGTGGATTTGGTGTAAGCGACATACAAATTATAAATAGCCAAATGAATAAGATAGATTGCAACTTTTTTATACCAGAAATGGGACCTTCTTGTTGCTAAATTGGGCTGCAACATCTAATCGTTGAAATCCCCTCCCATGTAGAGATTATAATCTTGGATGTCCGCAGGCTTTTGATTGGGTCCGTGTCTTCCAGTAATTTCCACCAAGGTGCTATTGTGGATGGTGGACAGGATGTACACGTCTCTCTTATCCTTCCACTTTAGGGCCAGCACTTTGTCGTTTCTTAGGCTTGCTGATTCCCCCATTTGTAGCCTGGTGGTGACTAGAGCTTGTGGGAAAACCCTTCCTGTTTTTTTTGGGAGGTACCGCAAGCCAAGGTTTTTTCACGGTACACAAATAAATAAGAAAGTGTCTCCTGCGCCACTAAATATACTAGTGCTACTCAGCAGCCAGCACTAAAGGTGCCACAATCTCAACACCAACCGTATTCAGAAGATTAATAGCAATATAACACAGTGTGGTGCTCAAACAGACAATATAAATATTCATATAAATATTTCATCAAATTGCATACTCTTATATTATCCTTCCCCCATATATTATATAGCCAAGACAACCACAACACATGTAGGGAAGATAAACTATAGGCTGGTGATGTTACACACTCAGAAAAACTTCTCATGCACTATAGTGAC